GCTATGTACACTTTAATCACCATTTTAAATCCCTGATCCAGTCTCTCACAAGCTGCTGTAGTGAATCTGTGCTCCTTTGCGGGCGGATGCAGCAGCAGAGGTGCAAAAAATCCAAAAACAACGAGCGACTTCCAAGAATGGGAAAGAGAACCGCGTCTTTCAGCGCAGACTGTCTGCGCAAAAGCTTTGGCTCTGCGCGCTGGACGGAGCTGTGAGAGGAGAGAGAATGCTGGAGCTGAGAGCGCATTCCTCCCCCGCCCCCTCACCCTCTCTCCTCCCCCTCCCCTCCCCCCTGGCATGGCATCACATCGAGGTTTGAATGCCTCAGACAGACTCGTAACGTTTTGAACCGAGTAAATGCGTCTGCAGCGCGTGTCTGAGATCGCGCTCAAACATGCACGCGCATTGCTGGAAGATAAATCTGCATCTAAAGGATTTAAAGTGATTTTATGTCTTTATGAGGAACAGCTTCATCAGAGCGGCTCTGCAGCCCCCTGCAGGCTTCTGCTGCAAGACTGTATGGAGGCCTAAAAGAGTCACAATTTATCACATCAATAAATCTTTACATTTCATACATTTCTGTCTGGGATTAAAATGTTTATTACTTTTAACTTCGTGCTATTTATTAATTATGTGGTAGATTCATTTAATCATTTTATAGTTTTTGGGTTTTGTTTTTTTCTGGGGCTAAAAGAAAAATATCCACTAAATAAAAACTGTGTCAATAAATGAATCCCTCTACTTAGTATTTTCTAATATAAGTGTTAAAGTTCAGCGTAGATCTTCTGTTTATTTCCTCCACTTTCTCTTTCATCTCTCCTCACAAATATACGGATGCATGAGGTGAACAATCTGGGTGCAACAATCTATAAAATCACCTTAATAAATAGATTTTTATTAATAATATATAAAATAATGCATTTGATTTTTCAGCACTTTTAATATTTGTTCCAAGGTTATTTAGAGCTTTCTAAGGCAGATCTTCCATCTGCTTTATGGAGCAAATGAAGGTGTTTTTTTCAGGAGGAATATTATAAAGTCCTTTGAATGAAACTTTGACTTTTAAACATCCTGGCTGTGATTCTAATAACCGAACACGAGACCAATTCAAAGATCTGATTAAATTGAGACGTCGGATGTTAAAACCCTCCTAGATAACGTGACCAAATGAGAAGAAAAGAAGCTGCAGATTCCTTCACCGTCTGCCGTTTTTTGCAGAACCATGTTTTTCTGTAAGACAGTTTAAGTTTATCTCAAAAATAAAACCAAAACGGACCAGAAAGCAGAGATAAAGGCTTTCCACCTACAGCTCTAGTTAAAGGTACACTATGCAACCGGTGTTGATTTTCCAGTGAGGCTCCCTCCAGAGGGCGAAAGTAAAAGTGCACTGCCGTAAATATGCTCAGCTGTTCTCCTGGTTTCTCCGTCAAGCCAGGCGCGGTTGTTTTGAGCTTAGCAGCGAATGACTAACGCTGCGTTCACACTGGATGTAGCTGGCGCGACAGAAGCAGCGAGTTTACATGCAAAGGTCCCGCAGCGCGTTTTGAGCAAATTACGTCCATGTCTTATACTATTTAGAGATGTCACAGAAAAAAGATGACACAATGAAGAAAGACGGAAGATAAGTCTTCTTCTGTGGTGGCTGACAGTCAGCAGGAAGAGCAACCATGGAAAAGAAGAAATGACGTTAACCTCAGGAAGCTGATTGATGATGTCACGCTTTCACCTAAACCTGCATCCGCCTTCATCGTTTACCTGCAGTAAATCCAGGTGGGGTTGTTGGTTTCCTGCACTGGAACACAGTGAGTGTTTAATGATAATAATTAGATGAATCTAATCATCTAATCACGTGTTTAACCAAGTTCAGGCTTGTTGTGGCATCATTGGAAGATTTTGCAATGATTCAAATAACCGAATGAGGTGTTAAGGGGGAAACTGATTTAACCAGGAAGCTTTTCTATTTGATCTATATCTGGGAATGTTGGGAGCTGAGCCCAGGGAGGAATATAAGGAAATAAACCGGAGAAAATGGCTTTTTTCTATTTAACCCATAAATATCAGATGGCACAAAAAAAACCTTTAGAAAGAAATTATTGCCACTCGGATGAAATAAAGAACAGGAGTGAAATTCATTTTAAATTAAAAGAGTTAATGCCTCATATTGTTTTTCAATGTTTATGTAAAAACTACAGAAGACTTGATATGAAGAAAGATTCAAAAAAGATTATTTTCATGCTTGATTAACAGAAACTGTTTGGTAAAATAGTTAAATCAGGTTCACCCATTAGACCCACTTGGATTTTTTTTATTTAATCTAAAACTGGTTAATAATACCATGAAAATCCTGAACATCATAATGAGAAAAATCCTCATCAATCATTTCTACAATAAAAAAAAGTGATTGATAGGAATAAAAGACTGAAATGTTCCAAGAAGGTAAATTTTCATCTGGCTCTTTCTATACAAATAAACAATAAAATAATTAAAAATTCATTTGGATATAATATTGTCAATTCTTTAAATATAGTGTTAAACCATCTCTCATGAGGTGGAAGAAATAAAATCCTAATCTGCTGCAGACGCTGGTTTTAAGGTGAGTGTTGGTTTAGTGGTTAGAGCGGCGCTCTGAGAAGGTTGCAGGTTTCAATCCCCACAGCCTCCTCTCTGCAAGCCCCTTAACCCCACACTGCTCCCCGGGTGCCACACAATGGCAGCTCACCGCTCCCTAAGGGGAGGGGTTAAATGCAGAGAGGGAATTTCTCCAGTGTTAGATCAATAAAGGGATTTCCAGTTCATCCACAGAGCAGAGCCGCTGAGCGGCGCATGGCGTTGAATCCGCATCACACCTGTTTATAGGCAGGCGGGAGGATTAAACGCAGAGCTGATCAGGTTGGTTACTGTGCGCTGAAGTTGGTGAAAATCATTTGAAAACATAAAAGATTCAAATCACTTCTTTGTTTCCCTGTTCTATGATGGCTTTTCTGTCCGTTGCCAGAAACCACAGAAGAAGAAATGTTGTCTTCCTTCTTTCTTTAATATGTCAACTTTCTTAGACTTAGACAAACTTTGTCATCTTGTTTACACAGAGGGAATACAAAATGAAATCCTGATGCAAACAGCTTTTCACTAGTAAACGAGCAGCTTGGCAGTGGAATGAACGTTTCCATTTATAAAGTGCAGCAATGATTAGAATGTAAACAAGAGAGACATGCTGTAAGGTTCAGAGCAGTGCAGAATAAATAAATATCTATAGTGCAAAAAGCAGAAACACTCAGTATTTATTTTCTATTTAAAGGGATTATGAAAAAAAAATCAGTAACATTTATAGTGAAAAATAATATGATTAATGTGATGCACAGTCTGGAATTCTGACTTGATTATTTCCATCAGTGTGATGGCGGCGGGGAAGAAGCTGCTGCAGAACCTGCTGGTCCTGCATTGAATGCTGGGAAGCCTCTTCCCAGAGGGCAGCAGGGAGAACAGTCCATGGTGGGGGGGTGAGGGGTCATTGATGATGTCACGGGCTCGGGACACGCAGCGCTGGGATGAAATGTCTTTAATTCAATTTCTATTCAGTTTATTTCTATAGCTCCAATTCACATCATGTCATCTCAGGTCACTTTCCAGTTCACCAGATCATCCAGTCAGATTGATTCAAAGTTTTCTATCTAAGGAAAACCAGCTGATTGCATCGACTCATTGACTCTTCAGCAATCCCTCACACTAAGCATGCTTGTAGCGACAGTGGAGAGGAAAAACTCCCTTTGAACAGGAAGAAACCTCCAGCAGAACCAGGCTCAGTGTGAGCGGCCATCTGCTGAGGCCCACTGGGGTTCAAGGAGACAGAAGCAGACATAGAAAAAGAAGCATAGATACAAAAGGCAACTGTCAACCAGCTCCACAGGCGGCCCCGTCCAGGAAACACACAGCCAGGCAGACGAGCTCCGAGCCAGCTCCCATGTCAGAGGATGAAGAGAGCACATCCAGTTAGTCACAGTCAGAGAAACAGGACTACACTGGAAAACAGGCCAAGCTCCAACATCTAGAAACAAAGGTGTTGATGGCAGCAGCACAGCTGATATTTCTCTCCAGGATGGAGTCACAGCCAAACAGGAACAGACCAGATGAAGCTACTATGAGAAAAAGCAGAGAGAGCAGAACGTTAGAGATTGAACTAACAGATTCTGCAGAGTGGGAGAATAGAGATAGAATGAAGCAGAATGATGAAAAAGGGGTCCCTATGTCCTCCAGCAGTCTAAGCCTATAGCAGCAGAACTATAGAGATAGCTCAGGATAACCTGAGCCACTCTAACTAAAGATCAAGCAAATTTTGACATTTCTTTAAAAACTGTAAAGCGGAAACAAAAGTCACAAATCAATATGTATTTCACCCTTTTCTGCAAAAAGTATTGCATAAAGAGGAGAATAATATATGATATGTGTATTTACACAATCATAAATATGTTTTGCATGTTTATTTAAAATAGTAATATATAAATATCTATTTAAAGAATGCACTTTTTTATTTAAATAATGGCACCTTTGGACCTCTATAGAGGCCAGTTTTTTTTCTCCCTAAATCAAATTTTGGAAAGCCAACTGTGAAACAACAAAAAGATGTCGTTGTGCGGTGGGCGCCATGTTGGACCCAGACGGGATTTCTGGAGAAATCTCTCAGATGTTGGCTCTATGCAGCGGGGGATGCAGGGCTGCAAACACCGGGGCATGTGGCCCGCTGCCGCCGGGCCCTCCCTGCACGCATGCATGGCTGGGAGCGCGTGCAGCCCCGCAGGCCTGCGCCTCGCGGCCTCTCTTTGCGTGAAGGCGAACATGTCCTGGAAGGCAGAGAAAGGCCCTCCATGCTGGGAGCGCTTCCTCCCATCCTCTGCCATCCGCGCAGACCTCAGATCATCACCGGCTCCAAAATTCCAAGTGTTCTGCGGCCCCGAATGGCGCCACCTGATTGGTGGAGAGCCCATCAATCAGGCCGCTGGCCGCACCCCTCCCCCCATTCAACCACTCGCCTCTCTGTGTTTACTACACTGCCGAGCTTAAGGGGAGACACTCGTCTTCACATGCACTGAAGCCGCAACTAAACCAGCTTTAGTTTGATTTCTAAGCAAACCTCCCAGAGATCAACATGCCCAAGAGAAAGGTGCGTAATTTAGCGATAATCCGCAGATTAGCAGCGAATAATCCGCCGTTAATTCAATGCAAACGGAGTGAAGACATCCCTCAGAGACATGACTTCATTAGAAGGAGCCAATAAGCTTCTGCGTCGCTCGGGATTTTGGATGTTTTTCATGTAGAATCTGCAGGTTTTTGCAGTCGGAATGAATATTTTCCCGCTCGAATCGGTGCTTTGAAGCGCGTGAGCAGCGCGCGAGCTGCTGTCCTTTGAGGAGCCTGTCGGTCTGCATGCAGTTAAAGCACAAGCAGCAGCAGCCATGCTTTGCAGCTCTTCCACCTTCGTCTCCCGACCTACCGAGAACAAAACGCTTCGCTTCCCGCCGCAGGGCCCCCGAACCGCCGGGAAGTGGCCCCTAAAAATGCCCTGAGGGTCCCTCTCTGCGCATTGACTTTAAAACCGGACATTAGCCGCCGCGTTTCGGTAAAATTAGATATTTTCTCTCTTTGTTCGTCGTCCCAAATGGCTGCAGTTACGCGCCTCTACCGCCGAGAGGCGCCCGTGCGCTCCCCTGGCAGGTCCCTCCCCCCCTCTGAAGACTCCCGCGCCAGCGTTCAAATCTGAGCTGCATGCAGTGAATGGAAGAGGGGGAGCAGAGGGGCCCCTGCAGGCCCTGCACCCCCAGAATGTGGCTCTGAGGAGCCGCATGGGCCCCTCCCTGCTGCAGGCTCCTCTCTTTAAACACCAGCAGCACAATTTAAGCCTCTAATCCATGAAATCTAATTTAATCTGAACTTTTCCTTCATTTTCATCTGAGAGGGAAAAGTTTTTTCAGGAGTTTTGTGACGCAGCGTAATGTTTGGCTGAAACCTGCAAAAGATGTTTGCTGCAAACATAAAGTCCTCGTTAGTTTCAGCGTCTGATTGTTTGCTGATCTTTAATGAATATTTCTGTTTTTCAGGCGCAGGGAACAGAAGGAGGAGAAAAGGAGGAGGTGAGAACAGAACTGTCCTCTAATTCTCTTTATCTGCACTGTTTTCACTGTAGTTCCACTGATTTCAGTCTAACTGCACATTTCTATTGTTTCAGCCCCAGAGGAGATCAGCTCGGTTATCGGCGGTAAGAATTTAGCCCTAATATCACTTTTTTTTAAACTCATTTCATTAAAGAAACAGTTTATTCACCTTAAAAATCTCTAAAGTGCTGAAATGTTTCTGCTGTCAGTAAATATTCCTGAACTTCCTGCATCTGTTCAGGTTCTGCTGAGTCATGTTTTAGAAAAAGTTTTTATTTAACATAAAAAACTATGAAGCAAATCTTTGATTTAGGCTTTAAAATATAAGACATTCAACTAAAACGGATAAAAAGTTTATTCACTCATTATTTAATGTAATCAAAGACAAACTGCTTTTATTAGAAGTAATGGTCTATTTAGAAATATCTATATTAGAGAGAAAAAGCCAGATTGATGCATCTCTGATACATCAGATGTTTAAGAAAATCAAGAATAATTAATTTATGACCTTTAGGCTGAGAATCATTGAAATAAAAAAATAAACTATTAAACAAATAGTTTTAAGGTTTAAGAAGCAATAAGTGGACATTTTACATCATATAATTTATCTTTGAGACGATAAATTAGGACAAAATGCAACTATGAAGACATTAGGAGCAATAGAAGTTTTAAATATATATAAAACTAAATTTACTTAAAGTTTATTTCCCAACAATCTTAGACAAAATGTTTTATTGGATTTTCTCATAGTTGTAAAACTTTAATAAACAGGAAAGATTGTTAAAAATGTTGTTTTGATTTGGATGACGGCCGGTGAAGTGATTGTGAAAATGTTCCTCCTAGAAACCTGCACCTCCAAAGCCAGAACCAAAGGTGAAGAAGGCGGCGAAGGTAGGAAGGAGCGGCGAGGAGGAGGCGCTGGAAGGAGGCGCTGGTCTCCTTTCTGCCCGCTCAGGTTTTTCTCTTTTCAACTGAACAGAAAGAAAAGGCGGCGAACGATAAGAAGGAGGACAAGAAGACCAAGAAGGCGAAGGAGAACGCCGAGGCGGAGGCCAATGAGGAGAACCACTCTGAGAACGGAGAGGCTAAGACCAACGAGGTGAGAGGAGGCGCGCGCCTCCCTGCTTCCCCAGCTTTCAGGCCTCCATCTCGTGCAGGGCGTTTGATTCGTTGTTCTGGTTTCACCCCACAGGTGGAGGCGACCCCTGAGGAAGCCAAGGAGGAGGCCAAGTCCGAGTAGCACCACTGCCCCCCAGGTTCCTCCTCCTCTACAGCCACCTCCCCTCCTCCTTCTGCCCCCCCCCCCAGTCTCTCACATGGTTTCCCTCCGAGGCGTATTGTTAACAGAGGAATATTTTTATCAATGATTTTATAAGTATCCGTACAGATTTTTAGCACAAACAGCGAAGCTGATTAAGGAGCGCCTTGCAGTGGTCACATCAAGCGTCTGCAGGCAGGATTAAAATAACCACACTAAAATCTTTTTTAAAGGCATTTCATGAAGGCTTGTTTGGTGGAGGAAGCGCGTCCCTTTGCCCGATCGGTATGTGGTGACTTGTTGTGTATTACTGTGTTTATTCCCCCCCCCCTCCTGCTCTGTCCCACAAACTAGACCCCCCGCCCTGTCCCTGCCCCCCCCCCCCCCCCCCCCCCCCCCTCCTGACAGATCAGCCTTTGTCCATCTTTTATTAACGGTTCTTCAGCCACGTTGCTCTGGCTGCTTCTTTTAGACCTAAATGTGCAGTGAGTTTCCCTCCTTTTCTTTCATGCTCTCGTTTCTTTTCACTTAAACTGTGTTTTAAACAAGAAAAAAGTGTGTTTTAAGCGTGTTGTCCAAAAGAAAGAGGAAGACGAACAAGTGAAACATTCCGGGAACAGTAATTGCCTCCGACCCGTCTCCTAGACGACCCTGCGTGTTCAATAAGATGAAAACGGAAACAGCTCCTGCTCCATCCGGGCGGTCGCATCAGCTTTTCTAAACACTCGGCTTTGAGGTTTTTTGTTGGTTTTCTTTTTTTTTTGTTAGTTTTTACTGAATTGGATCCCTTCTCTAACTAATGCAGGTGTCTGGTCCCTCTCTTTTGTTCTGAAATTCTCTTAATAAAAACAAGTCCTGGAAATTTTCCTCGAACCCTGGTCTCTGGTGTCCTTCGTTAAGCCTGATACCCCACAGATAAGGGGCTTTATTCTCACTAGTGATCATCGGCCGTAAGGTTAGTGATCATAGGCCGTAAGGTTAGTGATCATCGGCCGTAAGGTTAGTGATCATCGGCCGTAAGGTTAGTGATCATCTGCAGCTTTGCTAAGTTTCTTCTAATCTAAATGATGTTTGAGCTAAATCTACCTGAATTTTCCTCCAACCTCTTTAAATCCTGTTTCTGAGGCGTTGCTGTGATCAATGTAGTAATTGATGACTAACCAGAGGCTGCCTGGGAAGTTTAAGCCTGTATACCAACTTAGGGGGGGTGGGTCACACAGATGAAACCATGTGTGAACTCATGCATGATCACCATGGCCCACATTCAGTCCCCAAACCCTGCAGCAAAGGATCCCCAGCTTCTCAGCAGCTCCACGTTTGTTTTCTGCACAGAGAGGAATAGATCAGACTGACCCGTTCAGTCTGTTTTTGCCCTGCAGCACAGACCAGCTGTGCTCTATGTGCACATTTGCTGCAGTTTTCCTGCAGGTCCACACCCAGTTTTTCCTTTTTGCCCAGAGGTGAAAATGCACATGGATTATCACGTGTGACTGTGAAGTGATGCTATAACCTTTTGTTAAAAAGGAGCAATCTATGTTAAGGATTTCTAGGGTGCATACCAGCAGCAGGCATGAACTCTGGATCTGTGGATTTTCTACACATCCAGACTCCATGTTTGTTTCTGCGGAGTTCAGGACTAACAGCCGGTGACCTGCATTGTCATGGCCGAGCGCTGGGCTCCATTTTGTCGATTCTTCCGCTTGCAGCACATGCGTTTCACCTTTGTACCACTAGAGGGCAGCATTGCACCACATTTAAGCACCGAGGAGTGAAACGCCCCCTCGTGGGGTTTTGATTTCTTCTTTCATTTTATTATAGTTGTATCTCTTATCTATCCATAAAATCCTTGCTAATGGAATATGGATTATTCCCACCTGTCTTATTGTTTCTTATCCACAGTTTTTCTTGCTTTTATTAAAGAAACTATTTTCTTTTCTTCTGACTTAGCTGGATAATGCAGATTCCCTGTTATCCCTATGACATCACAAAGGGCTCTGGGCTGGGCTTTGATCTAAACAAGCTGACCGACTTTATTCAGTCCTATGTGTTTGAGTCACATAGAGTGTGAAGGTTTTTTTTTTTTGTATATATTTGTAGTTTGTAAAAAGCCTTCAGCTGATCAAAAATGCTGCAGCCAGAGTTCTGATGAAAATGAAAAAGAGAGATCATATCTCTCCTATCCTGGCTTCTCTTCATTGGCTTCCTGTTAAATCCAGAATAGAATTTAAAATCCTCCTTCTCACATATAAAGCCTTAAATGGCCAAGCTCCATCTGATATCAGAGATCTGATTGTTCCTTATGTTCCTAACAGAGCACTTCGCTCTCAATCTGCAGGTTTACTAGTGGTTCCTAGAATTTCTAAAAGTAGAATGGGAGGCAGATCTTTTAGTTCTCAGGCTCCTCTCCTGTGGAACCAACTACCCGTTTTAGTCCGTGAGGCAGACACCCTGTCTACTTTTAAGGCTAGGCTTAAAACTTTCCTTTCTGATAAAGCTTCTAGTTAGAGTGGCTCAGGTTATCCAGATCTATCTCTATAGTTCTGCTGCTATAGGCTTAGACTGCTGGAGGACATAGGGACCCCTTTTTCATCATTCTGCTTCATTCTATCTCTATTCTCCCACTCTGCAGAATCTGTTAGTTCAATCTCTAACGTTCTGCTCTCTCTGCTTTTTCTCATAGTAGCTTCATCTGGTCTGTTCCTGTTTGGCTGTGACTCCATCCTGGAGAGAAATATCAGCTGTGCTGCTGCCATCAACACCTTTGTTTCTAGATGTTGGAGCTTGGCCTGTTTTCCAGTGTAGTCCTGTTTCTCTGACTGTGACTAACTGGATGTGCTCTCTTCATCCTCTGACATGGGAGCTGGCTCGGAGCTCGTCTGCCTGGCTGTGTGTTTCCTGGACGGGGCCGCCTGTGGAGCTGGTTGACAGTTGCCTTTTGTATCTATGCTTCTTTTTCTATGTCTGCTTCTGTCTCCTTGAACCCCAGTGGGCCTCAGCAGATGGCCGCTCACACTGAGCCTGGTTCTGCTGGAGGTTTCTTCCTGTTCAAAGGGAGTTTTTCCTCTCCACTGTCGCTACAAGCATGCTTAGTGTGAGGGATTGCTGAAGATTCAATGAGTCGATGCAATCAGCTGGTTTTCCTTACAGTGAAAACTTTGAATCAATCTGACTGGATGATCTGGTGAACTGGAAAGTGCCTTGAGATGATGTGTTGTGAATTAGAGCTATAGAAATAAACTGAATAGAATTAAAATGAGTGAATGTGATATTCTGCCTGAATCACATTCAATTAGGATGTGAGTAGAAATCCTCCTTATGCAGTCAAAGCTCCTGATATTTCAGCTGTAAAGCTTCTGAGTGATGAGATCTTCTGAGTTCCTCTCCTGCTGTTGACCGCTGCCATGGCAGGAATCCAGGTGGATTAGGCTCTATATCTGCTTATAGTTAAACATTATTTCTATGCTGTAGAAAACAGCAACAACAATGATTTTCTTCAAAGAAAATTACGGAGAACCACTAAAGATGAGATTCAATAAAAAGACTTACACAGAAGACAAGCAACAATTAGAATTTTATAAGAAAGAGAAGTATAGCCTTTAGTGATCAGGTCCTGGAGGAAGACAAATGTAAAAGGAATTATTATTCATGTGTATTGCTAAAAAACTTGAATTTAGTTTTGCTCCACTGGAGTTGAGCCCAAAGGAGGCAGGGAGCTGGATAAAAACCAGGATGATGGTGGAAGAGCTGCAGCTTGATGGAGCAGAAACACAGCAGAATAATCCCAGAGTCCGTTATGATGATGGCTGCATCCAGCCGAGCATCGCTAACGACCAGGAGGCTCAATTATATCTTTTACTCTGAATTTTCACTTATCTTAAAAAAAAACACATAAGTAAAATAAGATTATTACTACTTTTTGGCAGAGGTATCAGGTATAGAAGTACAAATCTTTAATTTCCTTACTTTGGGAGAAACTTTGGCTATCTTTACTTTACTGGAGTAATTCTTTTTACTTCAAGATTTTAAGAATAGATCTCATTTTCATTCTGGCCTGTTGGTGATAAAAAAAAAATATTAGTTTCATCCAGACAGCTAATTTCTTTGTGGTTTGACTCGGTGCTGCCCCAACTTGTTGCTCACCACAAACCAAAATAAATCGTTTATCAAGATGATGCAAAGTTAAATGTGACTGTTACCATTAGCTCTAAAACTGAGAAAATAAAGTCTAAGGAAGTTTTCACCCAGAATTGTAGAAAAATGTTCCTTTAATAGAGTAGAGAAGTAAAGCTTCTGGCCTGAACAGTTTTTCCTGCATTACTTTTATACTTTAAGTAGTTTTAAAAATTGTACTTTTACACTTTTACTGGAGTAAAAAGCTGAAGTTGATCCTCCAACTTCTACAAAGAGCAGGATTTAAACTGTAGTGATAAACATGGATACTTTGGACAGCTCTAGTAGAAGAAGATCTTCTATCTGCTGAAATGAGGCAGGCCTCTCCTGGTCAGAGGAAAATTTTAAGGGATTTGATTTGCTTTTGATTTAAACACAAACAATGTAAAATGAAGTCTGATTGATCATGCAGCAGTTCCTGCCTTCAAGCTTTAATACGCCGCCTTAATATGCTTTCATTTTTCATTTCAACATTGAGGACCTCTCATAGTCAGACCCACTCTATGGATCCAACATCTGTCACTCTCTGTGGGATCTGTCAATAAAAATGCAGCGATGTGAAGGAGAACTAAAGCAAAAACATATTATTGATCAGGCAGAAAGTTTTAGATCTCATTCACGGCGCCGTCTCTCATTTCTGAGCTTCCTTCCCTGTGATGTTCCTCAGCTCGCTGCACTGATCCCTTCATTCATCCCGTCTCCTGTGATCAGCCCTCTGACTCATTAACAGCTTTGATACTAACACACTCAGCGTCCGTCCGTCCGTCCGTCCATCCATCCATCCATCATCCATCCATCCATCCATCTATCCATCTATCTATCTATCTATCTATCTATCTATCTATCTATCTATCTATCTATCTATCTATCTATCTATCTATCTATCTATCTATCTATCTATCTATCTATCTATCTATCTATCTATCTATCTATCTATCTATCATCTATCTGTCTGTCTGTCTGTCTGTCTGTCTGTCTGTCTGTCTGTCTATCTATCTATCTATCTATCTATCTATCTATCTATCTATCTATCTATCTATCTATCTATCTATCTATCCATCCATCCATCCATCCATCCATCCATCCATCCATCCATCCATCCATCCATCCATCCATCCATCCATCCATCCATCCATCCATCCATCCATCCATCCATCCATCCATCCATCCATCCATCCATCCATCCATCCATCCATCCATCCATCCATCCATCCATCCATCCATCCATCCATCTGATGTCATACACACTCCGCTTTGTTTAAAAAAGATATAAATATAAAGAATAAATGATGAACAGTTTAGTTTGTGCCTTCAAGTCGTTGCCCATAGGAAGACGTTACTGGATATAACCTAACAGAATATCTTCAGAACGGCTCCAAATGACACTAAACTCATATGGGAGAGTAGAACATGATGGAATAACGGAAAATCAAGGACCAATGGAAAAAAAAACGTCTTTCCCCTTTAAAGTCAGATGCTTTTTTTTACTGCAGCTCTTATGCAATAATCTGACATGCGTCGTGTAGCTAGTATATCAAAGAAATGTCTTCAGTATCAGTATGTTTACCAGTTCTGGTTCAGAACTTGGTGGTCAGGTTCCAGCTGACGGGGGGGGGGGGGGGGGGGGGGGGGGGTTACTCTGCTGTGGCATCAGCCATCTTCTATGGAGCTGTCTGTTGGAGCAGCGGCTCATCTGTAGCTGA